CCTGTTGGTCTAGCTGTGCCTTGGTACCCTGCCGGCCAGAGTTTGACCCCCTTGAGACGGATTTGCTATCTGGAGCAGGCAGCAGTTTATCTGTGCGTTGAAATCCCTCATGGGAGCTACGGTGCCGCTGTGTATGGGTGGAACAGAGAAGTTCATTGATTTTCTCGATCTACGTGAAAAAATTTTCTTCTTAAATATAATGCTCGTGGTTGTCTTATCCTGCGGGTGAGTTTTTTTTATATCTTTTTCCTACGGATCGGAGCATCGGCACCCCAGCCCCGCAGGCCGGGGTGCGGGGCGCAAGGAGTGCATGGGTACACGCGATACATAACATACACATGTTGCCCGTTACGACACCACCATTATATTGTTGCTTCAACGCATATATTGGGGGATGCACGCAAGCTGCATGCCTCCGATCAATGACGACGTTTATATATTATGAGATCATCAAAGCACTACTATACACACGATTACACGCGTACAGGAAATGTATATATAATTGTCTCCTACTTTATATATAGCTAGCTAATCATAAAATTCATTTGCCAAATCAAATTAATTAATAGGACATACGTATATACTAGTTCATATATGTAACCCGGCCCTCGATCGGCAATATGTAGTTTATGCGTGTCGTCATGACAAGTAAAGACGATGCTCACCGTCGGCGTCACCCACCGTAGTACCGACGGCAACGTAACGGTCCTCTCTCTGCATGCCACCACCCAACGCACGCCGCATGAATTATGCAATCTATCAGACGGCCCCACCCGCCAACTGCATCACCGCCAGTATATATAGTCTCCAATCCCATGCATGGCTAGCTAGTCACTACTATTACTATAGATCATGCATGTGAGCCAACAACCTCGCCGGCCGGCGGCCCACAACCGTCGGCTTGCCCTAGTTAGCAGGATAATTCAGAGTCCATCGGAGTTGCCCATCTTAAATTAAATGTAAAACTAGTAAATTATCGGCGCGTGCAATGGTTCATATTCAACGCCTTATTATAACTTTATAGGCAGCTCAACCATCATTTACTGTATAGTTTTACTTTAATTTGGACCAAATTTTAGCATAGTACCACCTAGCTAGCTCCGCATATTCCATCGGCCCGACCAGCTCCGCGTCAAGCAACAAATTATTCCGTTCAGAAACGGTAATTGTATTTAACCAGAAAATAGTCAAACTTTATAAGTTTTGACCAACAGTTAGTCAAGACGTATGAATGTTTACAGCATAGAGATTTCTGTTAAACATGCCTATATGCAGATCTTTGTATTATAAGATATATTAATGGTTAAAATCTATTTTTTCTATGAATTTTTCTTTGGTCTAATATGAGATTACCATTTCTGAGCGGAGGGAGTATTAATAATCGGCCTGCAGATCGATGCATGTGTGTGCACGCGCGCAACAAGCACAAAGACAGAGCAGCTAGCGACACTGAAACCATAACGGCGATGTTGTCTGCACTGCTAGATACTACCTCCATTCTTTTTTATAATCAAGGCGCGCACATATCAAGATTCAAAACATTTGACTAATAATTTTTAATCATTATAACACAAACTTGATATGGTTAGATTCGTAATTAAATCTTTTATCTAATTATTATAAGTTTATAAGTATAAATAATACAAAAATAAAATAAATATGTGATCAAAGTGTAATTAAAAAGGTTGTGTCACGTCAAGCCGTGCCTTGTATATAAAAGAGAAGGGAGGGAGTACCGAATATATGCATGTATATAGTATACTATACTACTGAAACGTACGTACATACGTTATTATAAATTAGTAATCGATTCAGTGTGGACCGATCGCATATATATACATAGCGAGTATTACTACTCCTCTATGTATAGGAGTATTATACACTATATATGCATGCATATACTACAGTAATAGCTTATCCTTGACTCGAGGAAATTAAAGTCCTCTGTTAGTTATTGGGAAATGATGCATGACCATGTCGGCATGGTGGTGCATGTGTTCCTTCGTCTCATCGATCGATCGATCGATCAGCTCGTGAAGGAACAAATTTTTCAGTGCATGTCAAGGCCCTTGACCCTCTTGCAAGTTAAGGCCCCGCAGTGCAGTGCAGTGGGAATTGAAGAAGCCAACCAATTTGATCGAGAGAAAAAAAAAAAGAAAAAGAAAAGAGAAGCCAACCATGCAACAACAAGTGAACACTGGAGAGAAGGAAATGGGAGTACACCCCCTACGTACATATGTATGTTATGTTTGGTTGATAAGTCACGACTAAAAATATTGTTGATTGATTTTTTGTGAGAGAAAAATACTATTTATTATCTGAAAAAATATGGCTTATAAACCAAATTTAAACAGGGCGATACATACCAATGAGGTCGCTGGGAATGAGTCCGTTGGAGTAGCGTCCGGTGGCCTCGTGGTTGAAGAAGTCCTTGCCGTAGGGCGGATGGTTGGCCTTGATCATCGTGTGCAGGTCGTTGTTGTTCCCCGGGTCAACAATGGAGTCGCCGAACACGATCACCGCCGTCACCGCCGGGCGGCGGCCCTCCCCTTCCGGCTGCGACGCGTTCATCTTGTACTGTTGCTGCTGGTACGATGAGTAGGACGACCCATGGCAGCACCTCGTCGCCGCCGCCGCCGCCGCCAGCAGCAGCAGGAGGAGGAGGAGCGGCGTCGGAGGAGTCATGGTGGCCTAGCTAGCTGCTACCAATTCCTATCTACTAGCTAGCTGCTGCGATGCCTGGTGGCAGAGCAGGACAGACGATTCTCTCTCTACTCATCTATCTGCAGCCTGCAGGTGGTGGAGGACGCCGACAGCTAGCTACAGTAGCCAGCTATTCCGGCCAGCAAAGGAAGCAAAAGCAACGCCCTGCAGCTGCCTAGCTAGAGACGTAGGAGTACCTGCGTGTGCGCTGCAGCTACCTCTCTACTCCACACACCAACAAATATACATCATGGTGGTTGCATTGCCATTGCCCTGCTAACCGTGCGACTGATGACGCATGCATGCATTGGTTGAAGCGACGACATTAAAGCTAACCGTATTATTAGCTAGCAGTACTGTTGCGAGAGATTGACCCGGACGACAGGTCGCTCTACTGCTATCTAGAGCCACAATTAATTAATTCATTCATTCATCCGGTTGCATGCAACTAGCTTCGTCACGCACGTACCTATATATCATTGCATGCTATGCATATACACGATTAACACAAATATACAATTAATCCTCGGCCCTTTTCTCTGAAACCAACAAGAAGAATTTTGTGATTATTGTTATTGGGTAGCAGATGCTGACACGTACGTAACAGGCGGTTGAGAGTGAGACCTCGGTACATCAGCATATGCGCATGACAGCTTGACACCCAACTGCATGCGCACCCGCCATATTAATTTCCCTTCTTCCTTTTTTTCTTCCTCTTTTTCTTTTTTTGAGGAATTGAATGAACAAGGCATGCATGAAGCTAGAAGTGCATTAGAAAGAATAATTATCTGGGTATCTACTGTTTGTTAAGTTTGAGACAAGTAACACATTTATATGCATGCCACCTAAGTCTAAGTATGCATATCAAAGGAACATCTAATAAGAATATAAGATACATCCTTGTCGTCTCATAAAAAGTGCAATTGTAGATTTCAAGTAAGTCAAACTTTCTTAAATTTGGCTAAGCTCACATGAAGCAGTATCAACGTCTATGTCTGGAAATAGGTCTATAGTAGAGATAATTATTTAATATTACAAATGTCAATACTTTTTTAATAGATTTTGTCAAATTTAATTACTATTGATTGACCTGGGGTAATTAAGGCTACAATTGCACCTTTCATTTATGGAGGGGGAGGGTGTGGCTAGGTATATATGTTACCAATAAATTTAAAATCTGTGTTGCATGCAGCCAACTATATATTCATTTGTTTATTATCACAAATCGAAAAGCTTACGTAGCCCAGGGCATATATTATATGATGAATGAAAACAAGGCAATTAATAATTGTTATAAGATGTCAGTGCTTTCTTCTCTGTCTCCTTGTTAGAGTATTATATTATTAATCTAACACAAAACCAATTTAAAAAAATCGTCCGTGACAGATCATTTGCATTTATATTAACGTGTAGCAGCTAGGATGGATACTGACCACTGGGAATTGCCTAATTAGCAAATTTTGTAGTTATTCCATCACTCAAACAGTCATACAATTGTTACTAATTGATGAGAGGATGCATCATGCATGCGGGCAGATGCGTGCCATATATGGGTGCATCACCATCCACATCCCCTCTGAATCTCTGATGTGTTATGGACGACGGCGAATTAATTAGTTAATGGCGTCGCATCTATATATTTCAGACTTGACTACCTGGTGATATTAGCTCCAGAGAGGCAGAGACAACTACCCATAGGTCATACTGCATGCATGCTTCGTTTGGTTTGAAAAGATGGATGCGAAAAACCAATAGATTAGATTGAATATTAACAATAATATGACTTTCAATCTAAACGGTAAGTTATTCTGCTTTTTTTAATATCTAAACGCAATATATATTTAAGTGCGTAGCAAAAGCTATGTATCCCTCTATCAAGTTATGTTCTATATATATATGGTTCTTGTTGGTTTAGACAAGGTTAAAATCAAACTTTTAAAATTTTGATTGACTACTCCGGATCACTTCTAAAATACTTAGTTTGAAGACACCAACATTTATAGCATGTATAGATTAGTCTTGAAAAGTAACTTAATAAAATTAAAATTTTCGTTATTTGTTTATACATATTGTAAATGAAAAGCACAAAACCATGTTTTGGAGACCGTGCCATGTTTTGGAGTGTCTCTGGCACAAGAGACGATCTCAACAATCTAACTATATCACACTGTTGGAAATTATCTTGTGCCCCGGGCCGAGTGGAAGCAGGGAGAGGAGATAGGTACGGATGGCCTCATTATCGAGCAGCTTGGTCATGGCAGCTGCCATGTGAGCTGATTTATGGATGCGGCGCTCACATGGCAGCTGACAGGAACCTGTACCCGTCTAGTAAACGGCGACGACGACGATTCAGAGAGCCATGGGTCGATGAGAAGAAACGCTCTAGCCACCATCACATACGCTTTGCCAAACAGAGCCCAAGAGGCAAAGGTAATGTAGGTACGCCCATGATGGCAGCACCTACTGCCTGGTACCAACATGGATGAGCAAATCAGTGCTTACTGCTACGAGGTTTTAGTTTTACGTACGAAGTCTGCTGTTGGTGCACAGGTGCTGCAGACCGGGCACAGCCTAATGGTAGGGTGCCTTCGTCTTTCCTTCGCCTTCGGCTGTCCCAGTCCCAGGCCTGCCAAACAAGGAGACACGCTGCCGCTGCGGATCCACCCATATCCAGACCGACTACGGAGAATACTGCCGCTGCAAACGGATGTACCAGGACCAGTGACAAAGAGAATACTGGCACAGTCCGGTCGCTCCTCTCCTCCTATGCTAGCCAGTCAGTCAGGAAGTCAGGCCACCATAGCATAGACCCAAGGACAGCTATCAATCTCCATCATTCAAAGCATGAAGCCCACCATGAAAGGCCAGCACAGCAGAATGAACAGGGAGCAAGACTAGCTAACAGCATCTCTTACTTCAATTTAACACCACCACAAAAACAAAACAAGTCAAACTCCCTGACTCTACAAGTGAGAGAGTTCAGCTCCTCCATCAAAAATCGGAGGTCCTACAACAACCATCCTAACGCCGAGGAAAACCATCTAGTTCATCCTAACACCAGAATAGCATCCAAGCCCCCTGTGCAAACCCACCCCGGTAAACAAGGATATTTTGAGCTCGCTTACCAAGCCATCAGCCCACACAGCCGCCCATGGGCTACTAACTTATCACGCTCATCTTTCATAATTTTGTTTCAGTCTTTCATGGTTTTCCTCCTCGTCATAGGCGCCTCCAGATACCACCACCTTCGTATTCCACTATCTGCTTCATCCTTTTCACCAACTGCCCCAAATCTTCAACACTACTTCTGAATATAACAAGGTAAAGCAAAATCTTACCTGACCGCCAGTAAACACAATCGCTTGTCAGTCTAATACGCCTCCCCTCCAAAAATTGCCAAAAAAAATATCACTTGTGCTCTGTCACTTGCGCATGGACAAAACCCCTGCAGTCATGGTGTGAATCAGAGCCACTGTCTTATTGTAGCTACTGCTGACCAGAACTTTCTTCAGCTACTGGAGCCTCTTCATTACCAGAAGGCGAGCCGTTCTGGATGACATCATGATGGTTCGGCTCCACCGTGCCAGTAGAGCTAGCGGATTCATGCAGACGCATGCCTCCAAGATGTGCTGTCAGATTATTGACATTAGGTCTCGGTACAGACGCTGAGCTTGACGGGGCATCAGGATTGCTCTCACGAGGGATCACCCATTTCTCCCAGTCGTTGTGCTTCCTGATTTTGTCATCCTGCATTAACAGACACAGCGAACTATATAAGCACAATAAATTTCAGATCTCAAAGGTCCAAATCATTCAGGCTCAGGCATCACCAAAAAAAAAAAAAAAAAAAAAAAAAACTAACATATCTAGGTATGGAATTTAACCTCAAGGATGGCACAAATTTGAAAGCAAAAATCAAGGGGAATTAATTACACCGGTGCATCAAATTTTTTGCAGCTCTCGTGATGAGGGTAAAGCATGGACACATTACTTGTAAAATGATTATCTGCAGACTGCGGGAATCAATAGAGCACCGTATTTTGCTGAGACTAAAGCTAAACGACAGAATATACCTTCATTTCCAGTATAGATGAGGACTGCACCGTCTCTTTTATATAATGTAGGTCCTTCTTCAGCCCTTGGACCTGCAGAAAACAGTGCTCAGCATAGTTAATACATTCCTCAAACATACTCATGATGAAACATATCATGTCTTAAGTAGCGCCCTAGCTTTCCTTCAGTGCTTCGCACAGAAGGTTGGACTAGTGGCAAGGTGGGGATGATGCCTGTAGATAAGGTGCATAGACACAAACATTCAACAGGACCAGAGGAAGCAAGATAGGGCAGAAAGGAGCCGGATCATAGTATGAACCCACAGACAAGAACCAACAGGATGCCTAGACATCGTTGTGACAACTATGCCACATAAATCATCAATAGAAATAAGTGCTAGCACTGTAATTCCCAAATAGCAGATTTATACAGGAATGCAAGTAGCAAAGAACCTTACATCGACTGTCAAATGGATTAATTTAAAATAATAGATCTGCCCTTTTGTACACACAAGAAAACCAAATCAAGCCATCCCCAGCACAAACACTCTATAGATCATAGGCTGCGCCATTTCTAATTCACAAGAACAAAATATGTAAGTTGCACACAGCGTGTTTAAATATCAAGTGTAGAAGGCCTCAGCTCATGATATCTATCAAACTATAAATCCTTGTCATACTTCCAACTTCTAAGAAACAGAAAACACCTTGAAACCAATACCTAATTCCACTATAAATGACACTCCATATAGCCCATTTAGTTACCTACATTATCTGCACACAATCATTTGCTGCAACTTCACGTATTCATAAACAGTTTGCAGCCACTCATGGTTCTGCACTTTCTCATGGATGTTAATTTAAAATCAACAAAACAAACATGTTATTCTAAGAAAAGGTAATACAGACCATTGGATACAGAAATGCCAAGTACGATCAATATGGACAACATGTGGGAGAAGATGGCAACCAACATTCGAAAGACGGCCTTAGAGGTGTGTGGAGTAACCAAAGGAAGTGGAGGCGAGGCTAAAGATACTTGGTGGTGGAACGAGGAAGTCCAAAGGGCTATTAAGGAGAAGAAAGAATGCTATAGACGCTTGTACCATGACAGAAGTGTGGACAACATAGAGAAGTAAAAGGTGGCAAAGAAGACTGCAAAGCGAGCTGTAAGTGTGGCATTGAGTATGAAGGCCAGAAGGACATTTATAGGATGGCTAGGGTTCGTGAGAGAAAGACAAGGGACTTCAACCAAGTTAAGTGCATTAAGGATGAAAGGGAGCATCTCTTGGTGAAGGATGATGAGATCCGACATCAATGGTAAAAGTATTTTGACAAATTGTTCAATGGTGAGAATACGGACACAACCTTTCAGTTGGATGACTCTTTTGATGACACCAATAGGCGCTTTGTGCGGAGAATCCAAGAATCTGAGGTCAGAGAAGCGTTGAAAATGATGAAAGGAGGTAAGGCGATGCGACCGGATGGTATCCCAATCGAGGTGTGGAGATGCCTCGTGGACATAGCTATAGTATAGCTAACCAAGCTGTTCAACCATATTTTTCGATCGAACAAGATGCCTGACGAGTGGAGGATAAGTATATTGGTACCGATCTATAAGAATAAAGGGGATATTCAAAGTTGTACTAATTACCGGGGAATTAAGTTGATGAGCCATACTATAAAGCTATGGGAGAGAGTTATCGAGCATCGCTTGAGAGCAATAACACGGGTCTCTATGAACCAATTTGGTTTCATGCCCGGAAGGTCAACCATGGAAGCTATTTTCTTAATAAAATAAGTTATGGAGCGGTATAGGGAGAAGAAGAAGGACCTACACATGGTTTTTATTGGCTTGGAGAAGGCTTATGATAAAATACCAAGGAATGTTATGTGATGGGCTTTGGACAAACATAAAGTCCCAACAAAGTACGTCGGGCTCATTAAGGACATGTATAACAATGTTGTGACTAGTGTTCGAACAAGTGATGGAGACACGGATGACTTCCCGATTAGGATAGGACTACATCAAGGATCAGCTTTGAACCCTTATCTGTTTGCCTTAGTGATGGATGAGGTCACAAGGGATATACAAGAGGACATCCCTTGGTGTATGCTTTTCGCGGACGATGTAGTGCTAGTTGATGAAAGCCGGACAAGAGTGAATCAGAAACTGGAGTTATGGCGGGAGACTTTGGAGTCCAAAGATTTTAGACTCAGTAGAACTAAAACTGAGTATATGAGATGTGACTTCAGCACTACTACTCGGGAGGAGAAAGATATTAGTTTGGAAGGTCAAGTAGTGCCTAGGAAGGATACATTTCGATATTTAGGATCAATGCTATAGAGAGACGGGGATATTGATGAAGCCATAGAATCAAAGCAGGGTGGATGAAGTGGCGGCATGCATCTGGTGTCCTATGTGACAAAAGGGTACCACAGAAGCTAAAAGGCAAGTTTTATAGGACGGCGATTAGAGCTGCTATGTTGTATGGTGCAAAATGTTGGCCTACGAAAAGACGACATGTTCAACAGATAAGTGTCGCGGAAATGCGTACGTTGCGTTGGATTTGCGGTCATACGAGAAGGGATCGAGTTCGGAACGATGATATACGTGATAGATTAGGGGTAGCACCAATTGAAGAAAAGCTTGTCCAACACCGGCTGAGATGGTTTGGACATGTCCAACGGAGACCTCCAGAGGCACCGGTGCGTAGTGGAATTCTAAGCCAGGATAGTAACGTGAAGAGAGGCAGAGGAAGACCGAAGTTGACTTGGGTAGAGGCAAAAAAGGAGACTTGAAAGGATGGAATATACCCAAATACTTAGCCTTAGATAGGAGTGCTTGGAAAACAGCTATTCACGTGCCTGAACCTTAATTGCTTCTGCTGGGTTTCAACTCTAGCCTACCCCAACTTGTTTGGGACTTAAAGGCTTTGTTGTTGTTGTTGTTGATCAATATGGAACACTAACTTCAGTCAATACATCAATCTCAATATGGAACACAAACTTTCTCGTTTTTTATTCCTATACTCCAACTCCAATCAGCAAACGATTCCCTCCATTTACAGAAATAAGTAACTACCAGGATCCTAGTATGCAAAGGCGAACGTTTAACTGAAGCTGAGTTGTGTGTTTAGGCTACACAGCCTCATAATATGTTCAGAGTGACCATAAAAAAAATCTGCAGTTTAGCACGCAATCAGAAATATGCCAAACACCATAACATACCAGGCTGCAAGCAAGTCTGCTCGTCCAACCCAGAATAACAACCCCCTCCCACCCAAAAATAAGTAAAATAAAGATGGAACAGAAATACAACACATGTTTGTATACACCAATTACACAATTGATGTGAAAATTAGTTTCCCCAGCTTCACATTAGGTCAAATGGGTCATCTTTCGTGGAGATTTTAACCTCCAAACGAAAAAGAAAAAAAAAATAGATTGACAACGCAACCATCATGCACATGTAAATGCAACTTCTATATCTGCAGAAATTGACCACCTTATATAAAAAAGAAAAGTGACATTCTACACAACAATGTCTTTGACACTTTAAGCATGATCCACAAATATCATAAAAGGTCAAAATAAATCAAATAAGCAACAAAAAAAAAGATATATTCTTTTAGAACCAGGTGCAAATCTCCAATCACCGTAATCAGCAGGTCAATATCAATTAATACAATCATTTTAAAAGAGGGTGAGCAACAAATATCACCCCCATGAACCAGTGATCAATGGGGACTACAATCTAACAAGCCAAGAATTAGTAGGGTCACAGAAGTTTGTTATTAATTCTAACAGAATTCAATGCAATACTGCATGGTAAAAAAAAATGGACCTGCGAGGGTATGACCACCCCCAGGCATTGCATTAAGAAGAAGATCTTCTCACGCAGGCCCAGAAAACCCCCGAACCCCTGCCCCACCCTTACACAGCGGCACCGTCGCCCTGTGAGAACGGGCCGGTCCTTAGACCTGTGCTTTGGCGTGGGACAGACGAGGGGATTTTTTTAACCCCAGCCTGAAATTCGCTCCCACGGGGAGTCGAACCCAGGACTTGAGGAGTGCCGCCGGGACGCTCTAACCAGTTGGACTTCGACACAAAACTAGACCATTCATGGTTCATGCACTAAAGATTAAAATACACACATTTTAGATCACATACAGCTAAGACCACATTGAAGCATTAGATGCCAACACCCAAAAGATCAGTTTACACTGATTATTTTCCCATAAACAAGTCCCGATAAT